TACTGTGAATACTGAAAAGGACAGGTCTCCTAAATGGCACTGTAGCTTCACGAAATAGTGCCAAATACATACAATGGGGGTGTCATTTTACTCAGCAGATGTACCTGAACACAAAATAAAGCTTTGTACAGGAATAGCACACACCAACTTTACAAAATAAACATGAGAAGTTCTTTGTTATAAGTTTGTGTGCCAAAAAAAAAAACAACACAATTTGACTCCATTATTTAGCAGAGGTTGGCGGTGAAATGGCTACGTAGAAAGTGTCAAAACCACCTTAGGTAAAATGCGATGTCTACTTTATATAAATATATACTTTTGTGTGGCAAATTTTGTTTTCTTTTATGGCTATTAAGTTTACAAGACAAACATACCAAATTCTAAAATTGCTCCACATTAAAAGTTTATTTTACTCCTTGTGCTTTGTGACCTGTAACTACCTAAAAAAACTTTAAATCCTAGACACATTATATATTCTGTAAATCAGAACAAATAAATGAATTTATTTTTAATTACTTTCCTTAACCTGCACTAATTATGCACACATTATTATTGCAAAAACTGTAAAAAAATAACACATTTTACATTTTGTTTGCATTTTTCTGTATTTTTTTATAATAAATAAGCATATATATATATATATATGTTATATCAAATTAAAGCCCTTTCTGACCTTTAAAAAACAGTATATAATATGTGTCGGTGCAATAAATGAGAGAGATGCAAATTGCAGTTGAACGCAAACAGCAAGAAAATTAAAAAAAAAGTCAAGCTTCTGAAGCTGTGTCCTTAAGGGGTTAATGTCCATGACAGAGCCTTTTAATGCCCCTGACAGAGATTTTTAATGTCCCTGGCAGAGTCTTTCAATGTCCCTGACAAAGTCTTTCAATATCCCTGACAGAGCCTTTTAATGTCCCTAACAGAGAATTTCAATGCCCCTGACAGAGTTTTTCAATGCTCCTCAAAGAGTCTTTCAATGTCCCTGACAGAGTCTTTCAATGCCCCTGACAGTGCCTTGTAATGTCCCTGACAGAGCCTTCCAATGCCCCTGACAGAGCCTTTCAATGCCTCTGACAGAGCCTTTCAATGTCCCTGACAGAGCCTTTTAATGTTGCTAACAGAGAATTTCAATGTCCCTAACAGAGTCTTTCAATGTCCTACCTAGCAGAGCTTTCTATGTCCCTACCTAACAGAGCTTACTATGTCCCTAACAAACAATTTAAATGACAATAACAGAGCTTTAACCTTAAGGTCCACTCTCTATCACTCCTCTACCATGAATGATAGGAAATTGCTGACGGCAGGACAGGCTGACTGATGGCTGGGCGGGCTGGCTAACTGCTGGACAGGCTCTATGACAGCAGGACGGGCTCTCTGATGGCCAGGCTAACTGGCTGGCTGATGGCAGGGCGGGCTGATGCCAAGGCGGGCTTAAGATTCCGCTCCTCCGATCTCTTATGAGATTGCGGTTCCGCAATCTCTGCTGTTTCCAACCTTCTTGGAACAGCAGGTAGCGGTGGCCATCTTGGATGTGGCGAATTGCAGCGGAACCCCAATTTTGTTCTCGTGGAACCCTAGGGTTCTGCGGAACACAAATTGGGGAACGCTGCTCTAGACTAGGGGTCCCAAAGTCAGTTTGCACAGGGGCCGATCGTCAAGTCGTCGTTTGCCATGGGTGCCACGCATACATTCTACCAGATGCACCCATCCGTAGACCTTTTCATTGAAGTTCTGGCAGTCAACTACAGAATGTCTGAACTTTACTAGTGATACAAGCAGGACTACACAGGTATACACTGCTCCAAAGTCTTCCAGTTTCCGCAACCAGATTAAATAAAGGCACAATAATGGCCCTGATGCATACCAGGCCACTAGCAGTCTGGAATTAGAGAAGTGGGCCGAGGACTTGGACATACCTCTATATTCTGTGATGGGTGGACATGGACCACACTAAAGTATCTAGAGGGCTGGAAGTGGCCTGTGGGCTGGTACCTTGAGACTCCACTACTAGATTTTGTGATACTATATACCCCTTGATTTAGAATCAAATTGCACTTTCAGCTAATTTTTAGGACAAGGTGGTAGAGTTGAAGTGGAAATTGTTCATCAGTTTTTGCAAAAAAACTAAAACTTGGTATTATTGGCATAGAAAATGTATGTTTGTTTTTTATTCCTCCATTTTTAGATGCATTCCTGTGCCGAGTATTTCATTCTCAGTCTGAAAATGTTTGCTCCTTTAAGGAAAAGATTTTCATTAAAATAAATATGTTTGGATTCATGTTTGCATAGGAAGGAAAAAATAGATCAACACTTATGTAACTGTTAGCACTTACAAACCCAAAGCTTGCTTCATAGTACAGCTGTGAGGCTGATGGATAGCACCCTGTATCGGTTTAATATGCGTACGTGCAAAATGAAAAGAAACTTGGCAGTAACAACATGTAACATTGGCCAAAGTTATGAGTTATTCCTAAAAACACCCTGCTTAACTCTTAACTTCTCAATCTTCAACTAAAGAATTAGGGCAACATATTATATCAATCCAATGTCTGCAGTGAATATTGTTAACCCCTTTATTTGACAATGCTGTTTCCGGCACTATAAGCACATATGAGTACACAAATTCACCCTTTCCTCACTAACCTAATGCTTGTTGTTCTGCAGAAGAAAGCAACACGTTGATTTACAAAGGGCGCTGAGTGTTACCTGGAAAAACAAATCTGTCTGTCTGCCAGATGTGACCTTGCTATATTCAAAATCACTAGCCATGCAGACAGCTAATCCTCTCCTATTTCTGGACAAAAGAAGAATGCAGTCCTTCACAATAGGTGTAATGGCCAGACCCTTGTGGGCTATTACCAATCTGGAACCATGTGGGTATATATTTACCCGCAAATAAAATTAGAGATAAGATAATACCATCTTATCTCTAACATAAGTTAGAAAAGAAATATAATGGACTGCAAAATATCTATGTTGATTGAGGAGCCAGATTTGTATTTTAAATTGGTTGCCTTTAACTTTAACATTTTCCTATACACTAATGCTCTTCGTTCATCATTAGTTAATCATTAGTGCATTTGCACATGATGCATATTTTGTATTACCTAGGTTCTTTATGGAGTTCATTTAATGACACAGAATATTTTTTATATTTAATTTTGGATTGTTTTTTGTCAGTTGCACTTACTGTCTTTTTTTGATAAGATGCATAGAAAATAAATTAACCCAAGTCACTATTTTAGCTCTTCCTAGAATGTCAAGGCAGTGAGAAAGGTAATGAACAATTAGTCCCAAATTACATGGCAGCTTTTTGGCCCTGACAGGCGCACAGTTGGATTTGCCGGCATATGCGCTAACCTTACCCAAACCCCCATTAAAACACGGACACAGGTTATACTGTTGGAAATAATTTGTCCACAGCTTTATTAAATTATTAATAAAATAATTAAGGAATAACAAATGGGGTCATTGCCAACAAATCTTATTAAAGTTAACATCCCCCCATATACATAACATACCCCTAGCAATGACCCCACAATAATAACAACAGATAACAATCTAAATAACATGTTAATACAGAAACTGGCCGCCCAATATGACCACATTTCCACCAGGTTAAATTGTAGGGTTGTACCGAGACACCGCTAATCACCATATCGATTGTAGCGGTGTACCAAGACACCGCCACCCACCATATCCATTGTAGGGGTGTACCAAGACACCGCTACCCACCAGTTCCAGTGTAGGGTGTACACCCTCAGGTTCGGAGCCACCGACAGGCTCAAACCTACCAACCACGTGCAACACTGCACAATCCACACTAAACCTCAGGATGCCCACTTTCTCCTCCATCTACCCTCTGATTTAACCAGGCCATTCCCCGCCACAGCTCAGGACTTGACACCTAAAGCCCCATGAGCGACCCCCACCACACTGGAATAAGTCCTGTTGAATGCCCTCCTGAAGGCCCAATTTAAACAGATCACACCTT